TAATCTCATTGAGAGCTTGTGATCAATCTTTAAATGCAGCTTTTGAAAAAAATGGGAGAAACTTGGAGCCCACACAAGTCAGAAATCGACATCCAGAATACCAGGGAGAAGTATTGAAAAAGAAACACAGAATATTTATGTAAATCTATATAATTTATACATATATATGATATCTGAAAACATTAAGGCTATGGAAGTAGCTTCTGTCAAATTTAAAAGTGTTGTGATGATCGATATCTCCCTCGAGAATGGCTGGAAAAGCTAATAAGTAACGTGCGGTCTCCTCAGTTCCTACTGAAATGTGTTGCAGGGATAAGACAAACCATTGAGCAGGAAGATCCAACTTAGTATAGAGCGAAAACTTCATGAATAAAAGACTAATCCAACCCGATCTGACCTCATTTCACTCACTTTTTGCAGCCCAAATTCGTTTGTCATCATTACGGCAAACCGGGTGATCCACTGCAACAGCGACACACCCGAGGAGATGCATCACTGGATCAGCCTGCTGCAGAAACCCAAGGGAGATGCCAGGATAGATGGACAGGAGTTCCTTGTCAGAGGTAAGAGAAAATGAAACCCAAAAATATTTGCAACCTTTGAGTGCAGTCCACCTTTATTGGCGCTACTGGCAGGGTTTTGGGAAAAGGCTTTAAAATAAAGTCATCTTTCATTTCTGCAACATAAAATAGAAAATTTACGAAGATCCAACCTTTAAGTTGAGTACATTACATTTGTGGGAAAGAAATTGTTTTTTTTTAGTAATTTTACAGCTGAGGGAACACTTCTTCTGTAACATTTCTCAAAGTCAGAGCTTATGGCGTGAGGGACCTTTGAGGTTTCATCTTGTCCTTTCGTCACCTTCAGGTTGGCTCCACAAGGAGATGAAGACGAACGCCAAGAGCACGTCCCTGAAGCTGAAGAAACGGTGGTTTGTTTTGACCCACAACTCTCTGGATTACTACAAGAGCGCAGAGAAAAACTCATCCAAGATGGGGACTCTGGTCCTCAACTCGCTCTGCTCCGTCATCCAGCCGGATGAGCGGGTCCACAGGGAGACTGGTGAGGGACTGGAAATGAGGGGAAGCTGCCGAAAGGTCGCCATAAGTAGTAACTGAACTGTGTCTTTACAGGCTACTGGAACATCATTGTGTATGGAAGGAAGCATTGCTATCGCCTATATACCAAAATGCTGAACGAGGCCATGAGATGGACGGCTGCAATCCTGGGAGTCATCGAAAGCAAAACTCCGATCGAAACCCCGACTCTGCAGCTCATCAGAGATATCAAGGCAAGACGAAGTCACGATAGGAGTGCGAGCTCAAATCTATGAGCTGATACCTGTATTTGAGTTGAGAGTTTGTTATTCATTTCCTCAGGAGAACAGTGTGAACGCAGAAATAGTGGAGCAGATGTACAGGAGGAACCCCATCCTCAGATACACACAGCATCCGCTGCACTCGCCTCTGCTGCCGCTGCCTTACGGAGAGGTCACCAGCTGTGAGTGACTCTGTTTAAAAGACGCTTTTCCTTTCGATTTTCATGCATGTCAATCCCACGTGACTGCATGGTTTTATTTTTTATTCTTGCCGTCTTCAAGGCATTCTTTTTTTTACTGTTTTACTCTTTTTTTTTTCTGTGTGCAGTACATCGGCAGCAGGGCTACGCCAGTCTGCAGGACGAGGCGGTGAGAGTTTTCAATTCGCTGCAGGAGATGGAGACGCTGGCAGACACGGTGCCCATCATTCAGGGCATCCTGCAGACCTGCCAGGATCTGCGCCCTCTCAGGGATGAGGTACGTTTTTACATCCGTCATAATTTGTTGGTATCTCACTACCACCTTGAGACATCTAACAACTTCACATTTTCCCCATGCGTCTTTAAAAATGCTCTCAGCCTTAGTCAAATGAGAGACGGTGAACTTCTCCAGCATCCTCCTCCAACAGGTTTTGTTTCTGGACTTTATTATGTCCATCCAGCTTCCCATCAACTCTAATCAGTTTCCCTCAGTTAATTTTAGTCTTCCTGTGGGACTTTTTATGTCTTCCTTACAGCAATGGTGGTTAAAACATGACTAAATGTAAAAGGGTATAAATACTTTGCTAGAACAACGTGTGGCTACATGGTTATTTCTTTCTTCTTCTTTTAGGTTTATTGTCAGGTGATCAAGCAGACCAATCATGTGCCTCAACCAAACAGCCCAGCCAATCTGGCACACTGGCACCTGCTCACCTGCATGAGCTGCACCTTCCTGCCCAGTCGAGCCATCCTCAGATACCTCCGCTTCCACCTTAAAAGGTAACGGGAACTCTTTGCCTCCGGCTACAAAAACGTCTTTTTGTACAAATACGTTTGTTTGTGGCTCAGGGTACGGGAGCGTTATCCCGGCACCGAGATCGAGCGCTATGCCGGCTTCATCGGAGAGTCCCTGAAGAAGACCAAGACTCGTGAGTTTGTTCCGTCTCAGGAGGAGATCGCCGCCCTGCTGCTCAGGCAGGAGATGAGCACCACCGTGTACTGCCACGGCGGAGGCTCCTGCAAGATCTCCATTAACTCGCACACCACAGCTGGAGAGGTGAGTAACAAATGTTCACATTTGTTACTCACCTTTTAGCAACAGAGCTAAAAGAATGGGTCAATTTTACATCTTCAGATTTTTATTTTTTTTAATGAGAGGGTGGTGCTGAAATCTCCTTCTTCCATAGTACCAATTTTATTAATCTTACAAGGACACAATGTCACGTTAATGAGGTCAGGTTGCATCAAATAGCGAAAAATAGACAAGAAATAGGTCAGGATTCTGCAAGGAAAAGCTTTAAAGTTATTAATTTTGGGTAGATCTGTGTATCTCCTCAATATATACAACCCTAAAAACATTTCGTTTCTGGCTGCTGCAGGTTGTTGAGAAGCTCATCAGAGGTCTGGCCATGGAGGACAGCAAGAACCTGTTTTCTCTATTCGAACACAACACTTTCACAGACAGAGCGCTGGAGAGCAGAGTGATTGTGGCGGATGTTCTGGCCAAGTTTGAGAGGCAAGTCGGTCTCCTTAAACATTACACTGCAACTTTTGGATCAAAGCTTTGTTGTCAACAAAGAATTGCTGATGTTTCCATTTTTCTTGTGCGTTTGTTCAGACTGGCAGGCAGTGAAGAGGATGAGGAGGAGGGAGAGTGGAAACTGTACTTCAAGCTGTACTGCTTCCTGGATATGGAGAGCATGCCCAAGGAGGGAGTGGAGTTTGCATTCATGTTTGAACAGGTGTGATTTCATCTAAAATAACTAAATGCATTCTATTTGTTGCGAAAAACGACTGGCAAAGGCAACAATTCCTCAAACCCTTTTTACATTTTCACAATCAGCCCTTACAATCTTCCCAGCATGATCCTGCCACCACCACATTTCTCAGCTGGAGGTTGTGGTATTTGTTTTCCGCTCCACAGAGTTCTCTGTGCGTAGGTCAGATTGTAAAATGTTGATCTTCTGAATAGTTCTGCAAGACACTGTGGGTATTTTATTCCTTCTGGTAAAAATCATTGACTTCTTTAGCATTTCAAAAAATCTACACACAATAACTTAATATAAATGTTAATCAGGCGAGTTCAGGTGGTGCCTCAGAAGCACAAAGATTAGAGAAATCAGTTTAGTGGATATGCAAATTGTTAAAAGTGTTTTAGTAAGTCAGGAGGTTTTTCCTTTCATCCTGAAATATCCGTCGTAAACTAAACGACGTCTACCAGGCTTTACATGGGAACAAGTTGTATTAACTTGTGTTAATGTAGTTTTACATTTAACACAGTGAAAAACAGCTTGTTGGGAAAAAAAAAGACTAAAGTTTGGTTTAAATTTAGAATATTATTGGGAAATAATCATGTTTTTTTTCCTTCCAGGCTCATGAATCATTAATCAGCGGCCACTTCCCTGCCTCGGAGGAGACTTTGCAGCACCTGGCGGCTTTACGTCTCCAGTATCTCCACGGCGATGGGGCGGGTCGGGCCGGATGGAGCCTGGGGAGCGTCTATCCGATCGGACGCCTCCGGAATCGCATCTTGCAGTCCACGAAACCGGGCGTGGGCGCGGCCGGCGGAGCCGGGTCGAGAGGCAGCGGAGGAATCGGAGACGTGATCGGGACCATCGGCGGACAGGGCGGGACCGGGCCCAGCACGGAGAAACGAAAGACTCCCACCTTCAGGGATTCCTCCCTCAGGAAGAGCAAAACGGGTTCACTGAAGAAGCAGAAGGTACGCCTCCGTAATCCTTAATCTGCGTTAACAACAATGGGGGGGGAAAAAAAGGGCAAAAGTGTTAATCGTACTAATCCAGGCTTCTCCGACTGCGGCTCCTTAAGTTCGCTTTCCTGCAAACTTAAGGAGCCGCCGCTGTTTGCTGACTGTTTGACAGAGATCCATTCGATGTTTCAGGTGGAAGGGGAGCAGAGGCTGGAGATGTGGGTGAAGGAGGAGACGTCTGCGACGCGCACCAGCATCCTGGAGAAGTGGGCCCGTCTGCAGGGCATGCCACAGCACCAGGCCATGCTCAAGTACATGAGCATCATCAAGGAGTGGCCCGGATACGGCTCCACTCTCTTCGACGTGGAGGTGAGAAATAAAGACGATGATAGATGTCATGGTCAGGATAGTAATATAAAAATAAAAAATAAAATGTCTTCTCTTGGCAGTGTAAAGAAGGTGGGTTCCCTCACGATCTGTGGCTGGGCGTGAGTGCCGACAATGTTTCTGTGTATAAGCGAGGTGAACCGAAACCACTGGAGACGTTCCAGTATGAGCACATAACCTTCTTTGGAGCCTCGCAGCCCTGCACCTATAAGATCATCGTTGATGAGAGGGAGATGTACTTCGAGACGCCACAGGTGAGACTTCACTGAGTTTTCCTGCATGTATCGTTCCACTGAATTTTAGACATGTAGCTATGAAGAGTTATCCAATCACCAGACTTACTGTTGGCTAACGATGAGCACTAAAATAGCACACAGTCAACAAATAATGTGGTGCTTTTTATATCTATAATACTGCATACAGCTCCAGTTGCATTCACAACTGTAGCCTTCTGGTACTAATGCAACACCAGAAACTCCAGTCTGTATTAATATGCTGTCAACATACTTCCTAAAATAGTTTCTTTTTATGCCTTCTTACACCTTTTGTGCTTCACAAGCCCATCTCATTTAGGCAAGACGGACAGAAAATCAGAGTTGGGTTATTCAAGTAAACTGTGAAACCTTCTTCCGCCGTACAAAGTAACCTGTTCGAAACATTGAGAACCCCCCAGGAATTGCTACAATAATTCAGATGGACAGAAATGACCCAGCTGAATCTAAATATTTAAGATTTTGAATCATGGTTGGTTAGAAAACAGGTCAGACGTCTTACTGATTGATTGATTGAGAGATGTTCCTGGATTGAACATGCAACTAAGCCGTATTTTTATTATTTTTTTAATTTTGCTGTATGCTGCCCCTTATGTTGTGTTGCCCTGGCAGAACGCCACGTAGCTCATATCAAAAACCGCCATTGTTGGTAGGACGACGCCACGGTCCAACTCGTGTTTTCCCTCTGCAGGTTGGAGAGATCACCAAGATCATGAAGGCCTACATCAACATGATGGTGAAGAAGCGTTGCAGCATCATGTCCGTGAGCAGCGTGGCCAGTTCCTGGGCCAGGTGATCACCAAGCCGCTCCTCGGTTTGTCCATCCATCCATCCAGCAGCAGCAGCAGCAGCAGGCTCCTTCTTTGGCCTTCTTTTAGTGTTTGGGTCTTGATGAAGGCAGTTGCAGCTGCCAGCAAATCCAACAGGTTGAGTCAACTTTAATGAATTCGGGAGACATGGAAAACAAAGCCTGAGTCCTACTTGAGATTAAAACGAGCATGGCAGACGAAAACAACAAGTGGTTTTGGACTTTCACCTAAAACATACACCACCCCCAGCTGTAATAATGCATGTAGATGTTCAAGCACATCACACACTGCTCTGTTGTTTTCAGGCAAAAAAAGAAAAGAAAGAAAAACAACAATAACAAGCACAAATTAGCCACCCAGTGTTGGTCCGGGAGGGGTCTCTGTTCTCTCTGCGCACTGCCAGACAAGAAGTAAACCACACCCTTTCTTTGTTTGACCCTCATTCCTCCGATTTTTAATCTCTCTCTCTTTCTCTTTGTGTTTCTTTATTCTTATGGCATCTTTTTTTCTGTTGCCATTAAGTTCTACGGTTTTACTCTTCTTCTTCTTGCTTGCTTTTTTGGTGTCGTTTCCAGTCGTTTATCTTTAACGTCAGCAGTGTTACCTTTGAGTAAAAGAACTGAAAAAATTAATTCTTCTTCTGGGAGTCCCACGCCTCCCTGTCCCACTTGTTAGTGCCACCATGTGGCCACAAGGAAAACACAGCAACAGGAAGCGTCTGAGTGTCATGAAAAGATTCAAGGTGTGGAAGCTTACCTGACATTAGGAGTCAGTGCAGAGTTTATGTGCATTTGGCTCCGCAAAAAGACGAATATCTATTTATGTGAAGATGTAACACAGCCTGCTTAGCCCTGTATAGTCACAACTATGTACACATAAATGAAACAAATGTATCATTTTGTATGAATCACACACATACTGCAGAGTGGATTTGATTTTCCTTTTGGTGGCTACTGCACTGTAAAGCCTAGAGATGCCATAACCTAACACAATGTGATGCCTGTCATGTAAAAATACATGCAGAAAAATTAATATTAAGAATTACCACTGTATGTCTGAGGACTGTGATGCCTATGATGCGCACCGTTCACTGGCTGTGACTCACTGAAAAGTAAAAACGAGCGGAAACTCGGGCCGTGCTGCGTCTGGTTGCTGTCCAGGTTCATGTCTTCAGTCATTGACAAGTCTACCGTTGTCGTCGATTGCAGGAATCACTCTCCCACTTTACCTTGAGCCATAAAATACTCTATAGTCTTATCAGATTTTTTTTTTTTAACCGAGGAGCTCAGGACACATGCATCAATAAGTGAGTAAATTAGAATACAACCAAAAGGATTTTGTTTTCGCCATCACACTTCACGGCTTAGAAAAACTCGACAAATTCAGTTTCTCTTCTCGCTGGCTCACCTTTTTTCCTTCCACTCAACTTTTCATTAATGTGAAGTGAAAAGCACTTTGTGAAGAGTCAGCTTCTTTAGCAACGCTCCTGTATGACTTACCACAAAAATTAAATTACTGGTCTTATGTAATATTCAAATTACTGGAGAAACTAAATTTTAAGCCGTTACAATTTCCACTTGAAATATATCTTTGTGTGATACATTTCTATACATGATTTCCACTAATTGAACTTAATCAACTAATTTATCTTTTTGCTGATATTCTAATTTATTAAAAGTGCACGTGAGCAAGCTCCAGTTTGTGTTTCCACTCTGAACATTTCAACTTGACACTTTATTGTCTATATAATATTATTATTATTATTGTATAAGCCCTCTATATTATCTGTCCTTAAATGTGATATCTGGATTGCTGCTGTGTGGGTGAGTGTTAAAGCAGACTGCTGAGAAATGGAAAGGAGAAAAGAGAAGGTGTTGTAATGAGTGTATTCTTTAAAAATAAGATGTATTTATATGATCACTTTTTTTTTGCAAGGAATGGTGTTGTATTTGTGAGTTTGCATAAGGTAAAAAAAAGCATGGGAATCGTAACGGGAAGGTATGGAGCTTATTTATTACTCTCTGTATCATATGTATTTCAATGTCTGTTTGGAGGGAACTGAAAACATCCCGAGTCTTTAGAATATTACCAGTAAGAGGTGCCAGTGTTGGTTTCTGGTTTCCAGGGGAGGATTTATATTCACCAGTTTTACGTGACTTTTGATTGGCTTTGGAGGGGACAGAAGGAAAGGCTCACCTAGGGAGCTATTCATTCAAAAACCGCAGGTGAGCCAAACATGTTGCACACATGTCCTTTTGTTCTGAGAACTTGTGGAACGGGTCTGTTAAGTGAACTGCAGCTAGGGGGCAGCATCGCTGACTTGTATAACCTCCAGAGAGCAAAAACAAATACATTTTTCTATTGCTAAAACATGGTGCAGCTGTTATGGTGCGTTTTATTTAAAACATATTTTACCCAACGTTCAGGGGCAATAAGAGTTTTGACTCCAAATGCATTTAATTTTTGGGCTTTTCACACGAGCTACTGGCAGATTAGAAGATGAAGAAATTGGATATATTTGTTTTCTTGAGGGTAACAATGGCCAGTGCTGTAGCAAAGGTAGAAAACAGTAACATAGGAAATTTAAGACTTCTAATCAGACCCAGTTAGAACACCCACAAAGATGTTTTTCTGTTTTGTTGAATAATGTAATCAACACTGAAACAGGCAGTTGTAAATGTGGCGTTAAATTAACTGAAAAAGAAAAACACACACAAAAAAAAACCCTCCTCTAATAACCAGATATAATAATCAGAATCTTCTCACTAGTTTCAAGTGACTCAGGCTAAAATATGCTCAAAAGTGTGATCATTTAATTTCATAAGCCATAATTACGGAGCAACCTGGAGGGGGATCCGTGTTGCTCGCTTTGCTGGCTCAGTGTGAGAAATTCACCCTGCAGCTTCTGAAATGAGAACAGCTTGTGGAAAAGAAAAAAAAAGGAATTTGAACTTAAAAGTCGACAGTATCTGATCACAAATCTATCTTCAAGGGCAACTCCATCACAAGGGCTCCTGTTATCAGCCGCAGGCGGCCAGAGCTGAGCCCGTCATCCTGTTCCGCTTGTTATCATTGTTACATAGTGAATCATTGTGGTTGTTGGGGGGGAAAAAACGAGGAAGAGAGAGATGTGTGTGTCGTTTCGGTAACACTTTATTTGAAAGGGGTTGAATAAGACTGTCATGACACTGTCATAAACATGTCATAACACCTGTCATGAACATGAATAAGCCTTCATGAATATTTATGACTGTTGTCATAAAGCGTCATTCGGTAAATTATGACAAAATGTCTTTGTTATGACAACTTGACATTAACCAATAAATCATTATTGATATAAATTTGTTATAAAAGTATTACTGATTGCACTTTAAAAATTAGGTAACTATGTTATTAAAGGTAAAGTTTAATCAGTAATGGTTTCCTGGTTAATGTCAAGTTGTCATAACAAAGACATTTTGAATAATGTCAACTTTGTATTAAAAGTGTCATAATTTACCAAATAACACTTTATGACAACAGTCATAAATATTCATGAAGGCTAATTCATGTTCATGACAGGTGTCATGTCAGTCTTATTCAACCCCCTTCAAATAAAGTGTTACCGTCGTTTCTTTTTTAATTTGTAAATGGCTTTACGAAATTATGCTTTAATAAATTATTGGAAACTGTATGATTTGTTAATGTCTCGTTTGTGCATTGTGGAGATCAGAAGAAGAGGAAGAAGTTTGAAATCGTTTTCACTCTGCAGGTTAAACAAACTGGATATGACACGTCAAACACAACATCTCACGCTGTAATCTCGCCTTATTCCTGATTAAATTTGAAGGAATGTGTTCTTGTTTAATTAAATTTCCATTTCCTGTATAATGGAATGCAAAAATAGTCTTATCTGTTAACCTTTGACAAGTTATAATGACAAATCTGAGTGTATTTCATTGGGATCCTAACAGACCAGCAGAAAGTTGTTCATTAAGAAAATAGTACATGTTTTCTTCTTCTTTTTTTTTTTTTTACAATACAAACCTAAAAATTAGTATCCATTAGTACAACAAAATTGCTCTTTGTTGCTTCAAACATTTTGGAGTTTGTCTCCATCAATTTTCAATGTAGCAAACTAAAATGTCTGCTATTCTTTACAAAATGACTAAAACTAAGCGAGGTCAGATTTGTTTTTGTGTAAACTGTTTTTTTTAAGTCTTACTACAGATTTGCAGTTGGATTTACCATGGGTCTTGACTTTGACTGGACCATTCTAGAACATGCTCCGACCTGAACCATAACGGTAATTTTTCAGCTGGAAAGCAAACTTTCAGCCTCCTCTCAGGGGTTTTTCTTTTTCTTTTTTTTTTCTTTAATTTTTTTTAACAGTCTTTTGCAAGTGTTCAGGATTTACCTGTATTTAGCTTCACCCAACATCTCATCGGGTCCGAATGGCTGCCTTTTCCTGGTTGAAGAAAAGCATCCGCAGCATGATAAGATGCTGACACCACTATAGTCTAAAGATTTGTTAGAATCTTTTGGTTTATTCAGAATGGATTCCCTTCTTACACACATTTGCTGTACTTCCTACTTGGCTTGAGACAAGTTGGACAATTTTCTTAAAAATGGCTTTCGTCTTGTACTTGATTAAGGCCAGTGTCAAATGTCAAATGCTACACAAATCAAACAATTTGTGTAGCATTGAACGACAGGGCAAAACATCAAAACACAACCAACAAGCAAAACACACCAACAAACTAACAGTGGTAATCTAAAAAGAATGAATAAAAAGTTGTAATCCTGACTGGAACTAATCTAAATTCACTTATTATTAATCAGTGTCAACTTTAAACAAATGAGGTTTCAGCCTTGACTTAAAGTAACTCAGTGTTTTAGCAGCTTTGCAGTTTTCTGAAAGTTTATTCCGGATTAGCGGAGTAAAAACTTGTGCTGTGCTCCTTGATCTTCATGGTGTTTGCTCTCTAATGTTCTCTGGCAAATCTCTAAGGCATTGAGAGAACATTTGATCTTATGCTGAGATTAAAATACTCACAGGTGGAGTCTGTGAAATGGGTGAAGACAACAGTACTGGTTTTTATTTAGAGGAATCAGAGTTAAAGGGGATGACTGGAAATGTTGACCGAATTGCTCTGTTATTTAATTGTTAAAAATAAATCCTCCTCACTACCCTCGATAATTACGCTCCATTTTCTTTTTGTTGGTGTTTCACAGAAGATATTGTCGAATGCAGTATTGTTTTCTGCTAGAACTGATAATTAGTCATGCTAATTATTATATATATATTTTAATAGATATACTTTGAAAATAAACACCTTCACTGCATTTCGAAACAAACACTCCACCTTCCCTTCCTTTTGTCTGCGCTGCGTCACGGGCGTGCGTCAGCGTTGTTGCGTTTCCTTCTCGGTAACTTCGCTTTTCGAGTTTCTCCTGTCTACCAGGAGCCGCCAAAACATTTTCCAAGCTCTCGTGAGTCTAACATCCTTTAAGACATAAAGCTCACACAGAGAATAAGAAGAAGAAGAGGAAGACGAGAAAGAAAAGTGCGGATAACCTGCGTCGTCGAAGCGTTTGGATGATGAAGGGCTTACGGATTTTCCTCCCTGCTCTCCTTCTTGTCTTTGGTTTGGCGACAGTTCTGGCCGAGTCCGCACCTGAACACGGTAGGGACTGAGACAAGTGTCTGATTTAAAAACATTCAGATTCAATTATTCAATTTAATTATAATATATATTTTTATTTAAAGTCTTTTTAAAAACTCTCCCTCAAATTGATATTTGCTCAGTAATTTTGTTCTTAAATTACTTTTTTAAACTTTGGGAATAGCTAAAGCAAACAGCTATCATGTTTGGTAAAATAAATGTTACAGCCTCAGTTATCTTAAAACTAGGAAAAGAAAATTCAAAGTCGACCTCTTTTCAGCTCCTTTACTTTGACATAAACAAAGCAGTAATTTTGTTTTTCTCTCTCTCTTTCTCTCTTTTTCTCTCTTTAAGCTTTAAGCTTTCTATCAACCTTCTGGATACACATTTATCTCAGTAAACAGACTAGCTGTTGTCCGCAGAGGCCTTTAAAACGTTGATTTTACTGATGCATGACTACACAAAGTCTCTGAAGTCTCCATAGAAAAATGTCCCAGGAGGATTAGCAGTAGTTATAAAAAAATAAAAATCACCCTAAGAATACCCACGGGCCTCATTTAATCCCCCTCAAGACTTTTCAGCTAATCAGTGTATTATCGGAGCTGGATGGGTGTCCCCACTATGCCTCAGAATGGTTTCACCATTACAAACAAATCCTGTTTTCTTTCCTTCTCCACAAAATAAACCATTTGTTTTTTCTTTCTCAACAGTGTGTGAGACAAAAAATGGGACAAGCTGCGAGGACTGTCTGAAAAATGTGACGGTGAGTCCAGATTTCAGCTCAGATAATCTCATACTTGCTCTGCACAGTGTTTGTACACGGCTGATCCAAGGCGGAGGTGCTACAGCTGCTGGCTCGTTTTCCATCTCCAAACCTGTTGGACTGGTTTGAGGAGTAACTGACCTGTTCCCAGCTCGCCCTTCCCTCTCTCTCTCTCTCTCTCTCTGTGTGTGTTTCTCATGTAGCTCAACATGCAACTGACCTGAGCAGTTTCAGATTTGCTGCTTTGTTTGAGCCATTTTGTGTGTGTTTTTGCAGTGCCTGTGGTGCATCAAGACAAAGTCATGTGTAACGTATCCAGTGCAGACCATCCTTCCACCCCATTCACTCTGCCCGCTAGATGATGCCCGCTGGGGGCTCTGCTGGAGTAAGAAACGCACGCACGCACGCACGCACGCACGCAGATTATGTTTCCACTAGTGGTTTATTTTTGTGGAAAGAACTCATTTAAATTAAGGAACTGAGCTGCAGTTTCAATACTCGTTCGGTTTGGTGAATCAAAAACAGTAAAATTACTTCCACTGTTTTGTATGTAATGTCTGCACTGATGCATTCGTACAAAATGGCTCTTACTGTTTAATCTTTGATTGATCATACTATAACTAAACTAATCTAAGAAATTAATTAATTAGTCGCTTGATACATTCAAATGTTCTTGATAATTTCCATTCTGATGCTTCATATTTGTTTTATTCTGAAGTTTACAGAAACTTCATGATCTATGTTATTGATGGGTTTTGGTTGAGTGTAATATTTATTTTCCTTTTTATTTATTGTTGGATGTCGTTTTTTTTTATATATATATATTTAAAATGTCTTCCAGTTCGTCTGTGTTGAGTAGTTCTGTACAGAAGTAAAATTTAGAAATCTTTGGGAGTGCAAACTCCCATTATCAACAAAATCATCTCACAATGATCTCAAAATAGCAATGTCATTGTTCATCCAGTAAAATCTGGTATTGTGACAGAACTAGCTACAGCATCTATTTATCAAAAACTAATTGTAATACTAGTCGATCGTCCAATTTGGAATCGGCCATTCTTTGGTCTCAAAGAATGCCAACATATTGAAAAGGTAGAGTTTAAATGTCATTACAATTTTCAAACATTTTTACAATTTTCAATAAAATAATTTTTACTAGATTGAGAAAGTGTTGCAGACTTACGTTTTCTCTGGTTTTATGAACTGTAGACAGTTTTGTGTAACTTCAGCCTCCTGAAATACTGCTTATGTTCACACTTAAAATGCAATAACCATCGTAGCTCAGCACCTAAAAAATCTGGGTCAGTTAGCCTATCCGTTATGTCATTTATTGTTTGCTAATTTTGGTTTGCTAGCTCATTTATTACTGTTTAGGTTCCTCTTGCTTTGCCCTCACAATCTGAATGTTAAGGCGAATGTACTGTCAAAATGGCATCTCTTACTCACAGCTTTTTATTTATGTCTGAGCAGCCTTCTGCAAACTGACTACCTTGAGGAAAGTCCTGGCTTAATTAAGAAGCTAGCAGTAACCTGTCAGGCTTTTGTAACTTCGTGAAGTAAAGAAGGGTAAAAACTCTTAATAATGTGTAAAATTTGATTATTTATGTTGCACTGCTATATTTTGATGGGTTTTTGTATTACATTACAGTGCATGTATGAAAATAACCAATATGTTGTCAGCATTATCAGAAGTTTTCATTATCTATTCCAGCAGCACTAGGTATTATTGATTATCTGTTCAAGATGAAATTATCGGCCAAATTTAAGTGAGTCAGGCTTTTAAATATTGTCTTCCTAAAACCACTGTTTTTATGCACAAACCAATTCCTTCAGTAGGATATCAGTCAATCCACTTTACTTACATCATTAGATTTGGTTACAGTGGGCTGAGTCGGCTTGCCTATTTTTATTTTTTAGTTTTTTACAAAACAGGACATAAACACACGATGGCTATAACCAGATGAAAAGTGAGCAGATTCTCAATTCTTTAAAAATATTAAAAACCATGGAAACATCCTGACATGTGACAGTATCCACACAAGGAACAGATAAGGGGAAAAAAAAAAAGATTAGAAAAACAATGTTAAAGATAGACATCTGATCAAATGGGAGAGATATGAACTCGCAGTGGAGAGGATGATGGATCTTGTAATACCTCTGCACATGCTTTAAATACTACTAGGATTCTGGGTTTAGTTGTATCTCATGCATCAGCTTATTGAAACGTTTTACCATTTGGTTTGCTGAACCAGGACACTGAGCAGAAAGATAAAACCGACTCAATAGAAGCTCGATACAATAGAGTCGACAGGGTTTGTCAATATGAAAGGAAGACAGTGTTCTGCACTGGTATGGACAACCTAACAGTTTGCCTCAAAGGTCAAAATGTTTACTGTCAATAATTGGTCAGACATTTGTAAGGACAGACACTTTCTTCCACAGTCTGAGTCTTTTTTTTTTTTTTAAGTAGTTTCCTGTGCCTGGATGTGTTTTATAAAATCAATGAGCATGTCTTTGGTTTTTGAGATATTCTGCCAGTAGGATTCATCAGATCATGTAGCAGAGTCATCCAACACAGGGGAGTGACACATTTCTTTTTCATTACACAAGCTAACAATCCTTAAAAAGTCTTAAAATCCAGCCCACAAATATTTGAACCTATGAGAAACGGTTCTCTAAGCTGACGAACTAAAATGTGAGGTTGACTGGTGTTAAAATAAAACAATAACAACAAAAAAAATCAATATGCATTTGATCACTTTCCACAGTGATTTATCTACTCTGTGTTCTAAAGAAATAGTTTTTCTCAAGCTATACCCCTGGAGTAAAGCTGTCTTTGTTGCTATGACTGACGCTTTAAGTCACTGAAGTATTTACGGACTGCCGTCTTGTGGAAAACCCCGTCACACATCCAGATAAGAGCACAATGAGGTGGGTTTTCCTCAGCAGGATCAAACATCTGACTTCAGATGAATCAGATTTCACATAGAAACATAATATTCAAGGATTTGGCCATGCAAGTTTTAATTACGCCCTTGTTTGACGCTCCTTGGCTATCAGATCAATTTTTCTGTTATTTTTCTCTTTGTGTCTGTATTTATTTCATAATGCCAACATCTATGTGCAAACTTGTGTTAGGTCATGCTTTGCAATGTACATGTGAAGCTCCAGATAATTTTAGAGCAATTGCTGCTCTAAAGTGTTAATGTGGTGTTTATTTATTTTTTATTTTTTCAAAAAAAGGAGTTTAAAGCCCGTTATCTGTACTGAAGTTTTGCTGAGTTCATGTAGGTCGTAACCATGAGGGTGGAAACAGCGTTGCAACATGAGTTAGTATTCACACGTGCTTCTACTCTCAGGTTAAGCTACAAGGTAATTCATAGGTGTGTGCAAGGAACGGAATATATATTTGAGTTTCAAGTCTAAATAATTAAAGAAAATTTCATTAAGAAACCTAAAAAAATCATTTTGCCGCATTATGCACTGCAGATATACTCTTCTTTTTAGATATGCTAAAAATATAAGATGTTAAAAAATGTGGTTAATCTTGTTGAATAATTGGGATTTTAATATTGCAATATATTTTTAGAAATGGTTGCAATTATGCTTTTTTTGTTTTGTTTTGCCTTTTTCCATAAAGAAATACTTTAGGCGGACAGTAGTACTGTGAAAATGTGCTCGCCCCTTTGCAGATATTAGTTTTTTTTTTTGTTTGTTTTTTTTACACCACATTCAAAATTTAATTTCAGAAACACTGCAGAGGTCAATGCTATTTAACTTATTATTTTATTTTAAAGGACAAGTAGCTGAATTAAACTGAATGAACTGTAAGTATTTGAAAGAGGCGGATTAATTTGTTCCACATAGTCAGGTTGGCTTGGATCTCTAAATGAAATGACTTGAAAATAATTCCTGTATTTACTTGGGTGACTTTTGTCTGCTAACAAAGTTTGTAAGATGATCTGAAACCTTTAAGAGAGAGGCAAAAAAAAAAAAAGCAGAATAAAGAAATTTGCAAAAGGGCAAATGCATTTTCCCAGCACTGGAAAGAGACTGCAGAAGTTGCACTGGGAACTGACAGTCTATCGGTTATTATTTCATGCAAAAAAACAAAACAAAACAAAAAAACATTATATGTATTGATTTACATATAACCCTGGTGTTTTGCCTATTTTTTTGAGAGAAAACGTTGGTGATGTTGAAGGATCATGTTTCCCATGTTCCTAAAATGATCTCCTAACCAAAGTTTAAAATCAAATCTGTTGTCATTATTCCAACTTGCTTTTTTCCTTTTTTTAAAAAAACAGATGGAACAATGGTGGAACTTATTTTAAGCTAATGTAACATCAAAGTGGTGCAATAAAGATGATTTTGTTCTTCAATATCCTACAAAGTGATCTGACTCTTCCTCTACGGGAGAATAAGTCCGCAGATCCTTTTATTTTTTCCATAAAAGTACATTTTTAAATTATGTGCTGTGGGAAAAATGGAAAGGCTAAGTATGAATTATTTCTATAACTCTCAATATTTTTATATGCAAGTAATGATAGCATATCAAGTAAACAAGAAGACACAAACACCATCAGCATTTGCACGAACTGTTTCATCTGCTTTGACATAAACATCCATTCAAAATGATGAATTTAGTCTGATTTCTGGTAAAGAGCTTTTACCCCACATTTGTTGATTCCTGATTGGATCCAATAGTTTCATTCATTATTTCTATGTTAGAAATATTTTTAGTGTGAGGATTTGTAACAGATTCATTCTCTCTGCAGTGAATTTCCAGACGCTGATAATCACCCTGTCTGTGCTCGGGGCAGTTCTCATCATCGCTCTCATGGTCTGCATGTTCTGCTGCTGCAAGTGTGAGAACTTTGGGTAAGTGTGCAGTTTGACTCTGGGCGAAATAAAAGTGAAATAGATGGTGTTCTGTATAAAGCTGCATGTCGGATTTTGTGGAAGATTTATTTCGGATCCCTTTCGGGTCTTATTGTTTCTGCTTCCACACGTGGCTTATTTGTGTCGATCCCGATGTGGAAACTTTAAACGATGCAATTTTTTTTTTTTTTTTTGCATGACCTCAACGATTTTCTTATCCATCACTGATCTTGTTTTTGTGTGTCAGATCCCAACGATTTGAGGCCAAGATGCAGAGGCAGGCCAATAAGACGAAAACCAAGCAGGATGAAAGGTGAATGAATTCAAGGACGAGTTTCTGGAAGCTCACAGTTGATGCAGCTTGAAGTTAGGAGCTGCTGTTTTTTTTTT